TAAATTACATAAAATAACTATGATTATGAATATAAATTACGACTATAGCCGTGCTATAAATAAACATACATGTTTTCTCTTTTCTTGATAATATTGTTGATCTCTTATCAACTATGCTTATCACGATAACATTTATTGACAATATTTGTACCCATAAAAATGTATTAAAATTAAAATTAAGAGGACGTGATACCCGCATGTGTTTTCTCCGTCTTACAAGTGCGTAACATAGCAAATTGTACGCTCAGCAGAACACGTGTAGCTTCGTTAGTTTAAAAATTAGTGCAAATTGACCTCTTATAAAATCTAAAGATAAGATTATTATCTAGTCAACCTCATAGGTTTTTTATTATATTTTAATTTTAACGCGAGTTATGAGTATTTTAAAATTGTAAATTTTTTATACATCTTAAAATACTCATAACTCGCGTTAAAATTAAAATATAATAAAAAACCTATGAGGTTGACTAGATAATAATCTTACCTTTAGATTTTATAAGAGGTCAATACGCACTAATTTTTAAACTAACGGAGCTACACGTGTTCTGCTGAGCGTAAAATTTGCTATGTTACGCACTTGTAAGACAGAGACAACACATGCAGGTATCACGTCCTCTTAAAATTAAAATATAAATTGTTTAATGTTTAGACTCAATACCATTGTAACTGAAATGAGTATTATGGGCCCTATACACAGGTTTATACGAGTCGCAGGGTGTGCCCTGGCACACCAGGCACACCCTGTAGATTCGCCTATGATATATAATCATATCTAAGGTGTTATTAATATTAGGAAGTACATATTTAAGTGTGCCGTAAGTAGTAAGTACATAATAATAATGTCAATACAATTAAATTATTACCTAGAATATCTTTGATTCACGGTTGTGACTTGGGTTTTGTTGTTAAATGTTCTAATTCCCAATATTGGTACGTTCACAGTTACGCTTGAGAACGATTAAATAAATTATTACCTATTACTTATAATTTATTAATGGTTTTTTTAAATACCTACTATCTTTAATCGACATCGTGCGCAAAACATAATAAAATTTAGATTTGATGCGTTTAGTACATTGGAGTTTGTAACTACCTACTAAATAAACTGACCTTGCATTATAGTAAATAGTTATACTACCAAATGACAAATACCAATGTAATATAAATTAAACAATTTTACGTCAATATTTGACCATAGACTATCGAGATATTTTGAATGTATCAATCCATATCCTTAAAAAGCATCAGTAATGATACTAGCAGATATCAGCTACTAGAATGACAAATTACTGCAACGGTCAAATGAGAAATGCTGAATGAAATTTTTGGAAATACGAAAGCAAATGCAGTAATGCGTACCTACGAAAAATAAACTACAATCAATAATGGACTATAAGACTATAACGCCTTACCCTTTGAATGTTCCTAATTTTATTATTGGATCAGCTTTTGCCTTTGGGTTTTAATTTGAAACTCTACTCTACTCGTTCGATACCTACTATTTTGTTCCATAATTTTCTTAATTGTTAATAGTTATACAAGTATACAACTCTCCACCGATATTCTCCATTTAAAAACGTGTTCCTCAACAAAATAAAACTGTGTTCAAACAAACCGGGCACTACGTACTTCAACTGAAGCTGCTTCTGTCTTCAACTTCGGTAACTTAAAAATAATTACTTAAATAAATCATCATCTATGGAACTGTTGCCGCAGTACAGCCACTCAGGGTCTTACGTCTTATCCACTTAGCGATTAATACGTATGATTAACATAATCAAGATTTTCAAGGAAGAATTTGGAGTGTATCGATACGTATCGAGGCAATTTTGAGCGTTCAAGAAGTAACACATGCAGTATACAAGTGACACGTACCGACCCGTATCGGACTCGGACTTCGATAAGACGTGGTACGTATCGATACGTATCGAATTTTTCTTCTTGAAAATCTTGAATCAGTAGCGGCCTGTACCCGCCATTGCCTCTCAAATATCTAGGTTTTCCTTTTCTAACCTAGGTTATCAGGCATTTCCTAAGTAGCCTAGCTTGCCCCAACATTATATAATTTGTTTACAGCAGATCTACTTCTGTCCAGTTTCACTGAACTAGCCACATTTGCCAATAACTTCGTCCAGCTCTGAGTCACTACCTAACTAAAATACGAACTGTATTTGGTTTATACCTTTTATTGAAGAATGATACAATTTATACCTACCTTATGCGAATGATAATATTATGGACAATATTATATTATATTATTATTATAAGCATTTAATTAAAAATATTATATTAAATATAGTTTAATCGGTAGCACACTAGCACTATTTCATTTAATTATTTAATCGTGATCGGTAGTGATATTCAGTATTCACGTGATGAGATAAAAAAATTTGATAACACTGATATACAAAAATAAAAATTGATAAGAGTAAACATTTTTGGTGCCGTGTTGCCGTAACCAAAAAAACAGACCATACATCACGATTAAAGATATTTAATCGTGCCATTAACTATTAATAACAATTAAACATTAGATTTTATCATAGAGTAAATAACTCCACGATTCATATCTTATATCCAGTATTTAACTAGGTAGGTACGTTGTTGCTACTTACAGTGCAGGTACATATTATAATTGTAGTGTGCACGTCCAGAGACTAATCGTTATATTGTTTTTAAATAGGTAGGTACCATAAATATAATAGGGTCTCGGGGGTCTCCTACATACCATAGGGTAAATTCTAAAAATCTGGAGAGACCTTATATACCGTATAGTACTATATAAGCTGTCATCAGTTTTCGCCAAATTAAAAAACTACATTACTTTTTTCCGCCACTTATAATTTATAGGTTTTTACATTTTGGGAATCAATTTACGTTAATATTTAATATTCTGCTGTAATATTTAATTAACAAAACTGTATACCTACTTTTCCATTTAAAATGTGAAAAAAATATTTGTAATGTAAAGCGCAATACAACTTTTTTATAATATTTAGCTAACTACCTAGCGTACTGATTTTGTTTAATAATTTATATTATTATAACCTATTTAATAATTATTTATTTACTATTTAATAATAAGTTACCTTGTTGTTTGCTGATGGCTTTGTGTCTTTGCGAGTAATCTGGACGATCATATATAACAACATAATATATTTTTATATACAAACTTCTTGTTTTATATCTTGCCTACTTTTCGCTCGAAGTTGTATGCAGGAGCCGGGAAACTATCTCTAGAGCAGTAGTTCTCAACCGGTGTGCCGCGGCAGTCGAGATCGACTAGGTGTACCACGAGAAATGTCATACATGTATTATAGGCGCGTGGCAATAACTAATACCTTCGGCGAAGTTGCCGAGGTTGTTGTGGTTGTCAAGTGTGTGTGCCGTGAAAACGTGTGATGTATAATAGTGTGCCATGAACCAAAAAAGGTTGATAACCACTACTCTAAAGTCTAGGTGAAAAAAATATAGCATTATAAGAATATATTATTAAAGAAATTAGGATTTATGACTCGTGAGGCTGTAAGATTATTATTTATAGGTACATGTTTCATAAATATACAACATATATTATCTTAAAGCAACAAGTATTCGATTTTACGTAAATGAGTGATGGCGCGATCATTTTATGATGTGGTCCACGACTAGGAGATTTCGAACTAAATCAAACTTCTATCGATATTAGGTACCTATCAAAATTTAAATAGTTTGAATACTTAAGTATAACACATCACAAACACACAATACACTATATATTTTAAGAAATTATATTTTCTTAAACGTTTAAAATTGTAAACAATATGTAAGGTATTTTAAATAATTTCGTGGCACCCTAAACCCAAGTTTATCAAGACACACTGGTTGGGGACTTTTGCATTATACCTAGTCTATAATATAATATAAGTACGTACCAACTAAATAAATATATTTGAATAAGTAATCCACTATAATTTATATTGGTCTTTAGCTATTAGTTAATAATTAGGTACTAATAATTAATATTATAGACTAATATAGTGTATAGTGTACTTATTGGAATATTTAGAGTTTTAGTAGTAGGTACCTATCTATGGACACTAAGACTAGTGTGGCAGAAAATTACGTTGTTGTTACTGGTGATAGTTAAAACATGTTTTGGTTGGTAAAGAATTATTGATTTATTCGATATAGCTATGAGTACTAATTTAAAATATTGAATTCAAATTATAATCGGTCAGTAGTAGGTACTCACGTTTTTCATTTGTTTTACAAATTATATAATAATAATAATAATAATAATAATAATAATAATAATAATATTAATAATAATATTTCTATGAAACATAATATTATTCTGGTTACCTAGCCATTAAGCCATTTTCTACATTTTTTATTTCTTTAGTTACGAAAAATATTATTAAAACTTTGTTTATAAAATATTAAAATCTGCAGTTATAATTAACTGTTCCTAATTTAACTCACAAACACAAATTGTTATATAACGAAATAGGTATTTATAATTATGGGAACGACCTTACGTGCTAAAAAAGGAAAAAGCAATTTATCTACAGAAAATGACTTATATAGTGACTATCATAATCAAGTAATATCGTTAAGTATAATATTAAATGTAGGAATAATTTATATAGTTTTTTAAAAAAAACATTACAATTTTCAATTTGAATAATATTGTATTAGATTTATACAATATACATATCAAGTAGTCATTTTATGATTATAAATACATTATCTTATCAATGTAATAAAATAAATTTTATAGTGTTATATTGATTTTATTTACTTAACTTTTAACATTGTTAGCAAAAAGAAATGATAACTGAATCAATTCCAAAAATTGTGCCGTTGTATGATGGCACAGAACTAAAAATTAATCAAAAGTTAATAATGAATGGACTTGCTACTATCTCTGTACGAAATATGAGATCAAAAGAAAATGTTATCAAAGTAAAGTTATTTTAATAATAATAATAATAATAATTGTTGAAACTCGATATCTTGGTAGGTTTATGCTAAGATGTTACAAAGTCAAAATAATAATATAAGATTTGTTATGTTTGATAATATAAATTATTATTGCTTATTATTTTATACATAATATATACATTTTACTGAATGTATTTCATTCCGTAAATCGTTGTAGGTACCTAAATTAATTTATATTGATTTTTTTGTGAAGTGTGTTTCTGCGATAATCGCAATGTTTACACGTAGGTGTAGGTACTGTTTGGAGTTCATTTAAAATTATAGAATTACAAAATAATATGGTGCTAAACTGCTAACTGCTAAATCCGTTTAAATAAAGTATTTTAAAGTAATTATAATATCATATATTAATGGTGTTGAATAATATATCAATTATTTTTTCTAATCCAATAAGGTTGAGTTTACTCCATCACCCTCTCTCCACCAATAGACCGAAGCGTCTAGGCTTTAAGTTTTCTAGAAATCTCAAAATAATAATATTATTTATTTCAGATTAAAGAGAATAACAGTAATAGTTTTAATTGTCACGATCATCATAAGCTATACAGGCACGCTTTTATTTTATGAAAATGGTTGTTGGGTGATAGGATTATTATTGACAATAATACGACTTATTGAGTTGTTGTACCTACTTGCATTGTTTAAGTTCACTGTATACTGTATAGCAATGGTCGGCAACTGATGGCCCATGCGTCTATTGTATATTTCAATATTTGTATACGACCTGCTTTAATTCTACAACGACGAAATTTAATTGAATATCATATCAAAATAATCATATTGTATATTGTATAAATATAATTTACTGTAATTTTTACATACTATTATTTTAAAGTTTCAAATAGTAATTTTTTTCATAGTAAATTAATTTTATTTTTGTCTGGCCAATGAAATTTTTTTAATTTGTGAATGTGGTCTGCGAGTCCAAAAAGGTTGCCAACCACTGCTGTATAGTATACTTACAGTGTATACAGAGCAACTGTTATAGTTTGCTGGATGCTACATCAATAAATTAATGAGCACATGAATAATACTGTTATTGTGGATTGTGTCTAGTGACTATGATCAAATAAAGTATATAAATAATTGTGGCTTTGTACAATTTTACTCTATATTAAATTCATTAAGATAATATTAAGTGTAGAAAATTGTTATTCGTTAATATTTGTATTTTGTACCATTTATTTTATCATTAAATGCATAATATAGTATAATTATACGTAATACGTACATCATTAGACTCATATATATACATAACATTTTATTTGATTCCATATCCATATGATGAATATCATAATATCCATATTGCCTATGTTGGTAACAGTAAGACCTCAGTAATCTAACTTAAATGGGACCAGAGGTTGTTGGATTATTAAGGGTTTGACCAAAAAAAGAAACAACATAATATTAATGCGAAAATGTCCGTACCTATGTATGTTTAGTTTATAATTTATAAATGTAACTATTTTTTAGTCTGTAACTTTTCGGTCATTTTTGCTTCCAAATCATATACTTTATATATTTTGAGTATGTTGTAAAGTCAAATTCACAAATGACACTTTTCGTATATTATAAGAAAGAGGAAGCGAAAAGATAGGGTTGGATTATTGAGGTAAACGAAGACTAACGGGTGTCATACTAGCGACTAGTCGGGTTTTACTGTAAGTACAATATACATTTACAGAGTTAATAATAATAAATAATAATGTTTAATGTTTTTCTTTTGAATTGACTAGGTACAGTATAAGTGATATAATTACGCCAAAGAGCATTTTAATTGTAAATTTATCGTTTGATATAAATAGATATACCGTATAGGTACTTAAAAGCTAATAATTATAGGACTATAAAAAGCAGACTTTTATCAGTGACATGGCGATCCTTTGTAAGTTTGTAACTCGGGGCCCAATCAGGAATTTTTTTTTTTATTAACGTGTGTATAAGTTTTATAATATGAATTATGTTAATATGTACCTATTATTAAATATTATATGTTAGGTATCTAGTTGGTAAAATTGTGTTTTAATTATTGGAGTCCGCCCACTTCTCAATTCTGCACCACTGAGTTATAAAGGTAATATTATACTACTCAAATAAAAGTTGATCGATGTTCTATGTTTTTGATCGAATATCTAATAGCTACGTCTATTACTTCGGTATTCGATTATACCAAAATCCGTGATTCACTTTTATAATATAATTAACTAAATTCTTTATGTAAAACGTCAATAATAATATTTCTAAAATACAAATTTATACTATTGTGACATGAGAATATTTCTATTACCTGCTTATATTTTAATAGATTTTTAATAATAATTATAGCCATATAACTAAACATTTTCAAAGTTTAGTTACATAATACAAAATATTCCGAAAACAAAATGATACAGATTTAAGATAATAATAATAATATAATACAGCAGGTTAATTATTTAGATACCTAATTATCTATTCACATACCTAGATAAAATAACAGGTATTATGCACAAATACTTGAAAATTATTATTATTGTAGAAATGAATATAAAAGAAACTTAAATTTCTTAACATAATACAATGAAAAGTCTTAAATTACCTATGCATATATTACAAGCCTTGAAGAAAGAAATGTTGTCTAATATATATTTTTTTTATTGTTCAATATTTTACATAATACCTATACAAGATGAATAAAATATTAATTTCGTGTTATGATATTAAGCATTGTGTAACTACACTGATCGAAGTTGCCAAAAAAAAAAATTTTACATATGATGATTGATGACAATTTATTTGCTCAATTCTGCAGTGAATTTTTGTTTAGGTTCTCAGCAAAGAGTGCCACAATTATACATTTTTTATTTTACGTTTTTTCATTATTACTTTCTGGTTTAATTTAGTACTAGATCGCATATCGAATCCATATATACGGTATTTTGAATAGGTACTTGATAGTTATGTTTTATTTTTCTCAATATTGTTTCTCTAATCGATAATTGTTTTCTAAATAAATGTCCAAACTCCCTTCATAATATTGCCTTGAAAATAATTGGATCATTTATTAATATTTGTTAATTTCATATCAACGTTATTTTGTGCTGAGATTATCGAAGCTTGTTGAGTGGACAATTACCTAAGACTGTCTGTATCTGTTTCTCTCATGTTTTTTTGTGTAATTTATTATAACAATTATCTAAGTACATTGTTTTAAAATCACAGTGAAAAAGATCAATGATAAAATGTTTTAATTTATGTACCTGTTAAGATAAAATTACTATATCATAATCATAATAATTAGATGTATTATAAGAATTACTGTCTACATTTAAAATTATTATTAACGCTTATACTTGATTTACAACTTTTGAGCAGAAAAGAAATTCATTTTTCAATCTCCATCGTCCTGAATTAAAAGGTTTAAATATCATACCTACTGAAAACCAACAAGAGAAAATATTACACCAGCACATTCTTAAAGAAGTAAAAACAATTCACGAGATAAAAACAATGTAACAAATAAAGTTTTCGAAAATATGAAAACATTTTTAAACAAAAAATGTGTTGTTTTTTTAAGGAAATCACTTTGTACAATTAATGGACCACAAAGTCCGTCAACAAATAATCAAACCAACATCTCGAAATATAATAGTAATTTTTTTACTTAACAATTTATTTAAAATCATCATAATATAAAAACAAGTGCTATTTTTTTTAAAACATTGTTTTTGAATAATTGAAAATTAAAATAAAATAAATAAACATTTCAATAAATTTTTTTTATTTCTTTCATCATATTTTATTCTTATTATTATAATTTATGACCGTTTGAATTAATTTAAAAAATATACATTTTCTGTAGTAAAATAATATTTTCATTTAAACTATTGAAAAAATAATTATATTTTGATTACAAATAGCAGTTATACGTTTTTCTTATAACGTCAAACTAAGTAGAATATTTCTAAAATAATATTATATTATGCTGTAATTTTTTGCCCATTATTTCATACCATATTTTTTTTGATGCAAAAAATATATAGCATAAAAAAATAAATTAAACTAAATAATAAATGTAAACATGACTCAATATTACCTAACTGTAAATTGTTTTGCATTTTTTTTTTAGTTAAACCGGATGCAACATTATTAATAGAAAACCATTTTTCAAAAAGACTTATAAAGCCAATAGCCATAACCTCACCCAATCAACAGAACAAATGGGCTGACAGTTCTAGTTTGTTATACTTCATGAATATACCAAAAGTAGCTTTATTTTACTTGTTTTGTTTTCAGTTTCGGAGCCTGAAGAATCAACATTAAACGCAGATAAATTGTGTGTTCACGATGTGGAAATAAAATCTACTCTTATCGACTGAATTGAAAGTATTATAAATAAACTAAAAAGTTGTCTACAATTTTATAAATTTAATTTATACAAAATCAATAGTCATAGGATTTATACTTTTACCGAAAGTTAGAAATATTTGTACATAAGTATGCATTTTTTTAAATGGAATAACATTTTTATTTTGACTCCTTATACACTGGAAAAAGTTTGTTATGTTTTTATCGCCGTAAACAAAATAATGGACATATCTGTGATACAAATGAAACATATCCAAATTTTGATTTAATCATAATATTATTTTTTAAGTGGCAATATTATTAGTTATTTCTATTTTAATTTTCTCATGTGTGAAATGTGGATTCAATAATATATTTTTAATAAATATACTTTTTTATACAGAACCAGTGGCGTATTTAGAAATTTGTTTAATGGAAATGAAATAAATAATAATACACAGACCCACAAGGGGATTTGCCACCTCCCTCTTCCTCCTTCAAACTAGTGAACCCTGAACAAATTAAACAACATACTGACAGAAAATATGTAAATTATATACATATAGTAAAAATTAAAATTAAAAAAATCCTCCCAACTAATTATCTTGTCGAATGTTGAGGTTTCGTGTGTATAGAGACAAAATATGAATTATTAAGAACCAAATAAACAAAAATACCAATCAAAATATAAAATAAAATATAGAACTAACAGTGTCGAACAATGCCGCAGAAAGTCAGAACACTAAAATGATGAACAATTGATAATGAACACTATTGGATAAAATAATTCATGGATAATGGATTGTTATCATTGATCATAAATATTGAAGATTCGTTACTGCTACACATTTTAGTTCTGTAAGTCTGGACGCGTCGACAGTTAAACGATATCTACCTATACGATAGCTGCTATACCTATGTTATTATGTATCAATAACGAATTTTCTAAAAATACACCTGTGTTTACTCTTCATGTTTATTTTTCATTGGTTGTTTATCGGGTTTATTATTATTAATCAGGCATAAAAAAATGTTCGAAGTAGAAAACCAAATACACGTAGGGGTTATAATTTTATTGTATAGTCGGTTAACGAGTAGGCGACCAACAATTAGTGAGAAAAGCTGGCCTATTTTTTAACTTTATGATTACTGTGGTTGGAAAATGTAGGAATCGCATTGGAAATTACCGAACAATTATGTAATTACAAAAGAAAAAGTTAAGAGCAGGATCTTTCCCCCTCCCCCTAGACACAAAACTGTAACATCTTCTATTTTTTCTATTCAATAAATAATAATACATCATTTAATATTCTAATGTCATACTACACAGTTCATATGAATACTTTAGTTACCTAATTGTATTTTAAATAAACATGAAAATAACAATACAAATAATTATTTATGGTAATATAATTATTATGTATCCGCAACTAATATAATTTATAGGTACTATACAATTTATATATTTTTTATTAAGATCTACTATATGTATATCTCTATTACAAAGCTATGACCATTAATTATTATAATAATATGATGACAAGTCTTAATATTAGTTATAACGTAGTAACTTATTAGTTATGAAATCATATTATATATTATGTGCAAGGGGGTATACATATAATATTATCATGTTATAATATTATTAAATCTTTCTAAAAAATGTAATCTAATGATTACCCCTAATATAATGTTATGCGCTACTTAACTTACACTGGTTGTTTATTAATGTTTAATATTATTTCTAATGATATCGGTTAAAAATTAATAAATCATAATATGGAATTGACTCAATAAAAAATAATAACCTTAAATTAAACTATTTTAAATAATTATAACACAACAACAACAAATTTGCTAACTGAATTTTCGGTAGTTTTCGGTTGTATTTAATTTTTTAAAAGCCAGATCCATAAATGGTCTTACAACACTTTTTAACATTTTACATCTTAACCTAACTTTAGTTTACTTCACTAAGACTTATTTATTGACAATTAACCTAAAACATAATATATCAAAACTGTTACCTAAGCTCATAGAGGCTATAATGAATATTATGTCTTTAAGTCAATGTTATTATTTTAGAACTTAATATATTCGATAATATGGATCGATCATGGGTCAATACTTACAATTAGAGGAATACTATCATTATTATTATTTATTATTTTTGAAATTGTCATAGTTTATTGCTCATAATAAACATGTTTATAAAAATAGCTGTGCAATTAATATTTATGACATATCGCACTTATTATCTGAATATCTTATGTATAAAATATGGGGGATTGATAATAGTAATTATTACTAATAATATATATTAGTAATTGTTACTTATTATTATTTATTGGTAAATTAATATTGTTCTCTCTTTTTTTTGTATCAGTATACTACGTATAATATAATATTGTGATATATTAAATTAGTTCTATAAATTCAATTATTTGATATTTAAAACAGCGCGTTATTTATCTTAGATTCTGAGCGGATCGAGGAAGCTGTATTGTTTTTACAATGATATTATATTCTTTTTTGGAAATGTTCATTATCATAGTAAAAATACTTATTTATTGAAAAGCACAGAATGTAATTTCCTGTCGGTTGGATAATTTATGTGAATAGTATTTTATTCTGTAGGATTAAGGTTCAAAAATTAAATGATTTTGTCTGAAATAAATATTACAAAAGCAAAATCCACTCGGAAAAACGATTACAAAGTTAAACACACAAGTGCTTTGGTATTACAAGTACTTTTTAGTTTAATACGTATAATATTACATGCAGATATAAACATACCAGCATTAGACTAACCCGCCTAATTGGTTGGTAAACCCGCAACCACAGCAAACTGTTGTTTCAAAAATTAAGAGCGTACATGGAAATGTCTAAACAATGACGTCCAACCCAACAATAATAGGCACTTGCCCCTTCCTTGAAATTTTTGTGGATACAGGCAAAGGTATTATTTTGCTCCCATAGATATACCAAAAGTAGATATCTTTAAGTCTCCTAAAATAATGAAAAAATGCAATACATTTAACATGGAATACGCTTTAAGGTAATAATATTTTTTCATCTAAGCATCGCATTAAGTACGCAATTTATTTCACATTTCTTCTGTTGTATAATAATATGTAGACCTGTTGTCGACGTTATCACATTATCTGGGTTACAAAAATAACCCGAACATTTTATTTCATAATTTGTGATTACACGATTATCATCATATTAATTTTTCAAACAAGTTAAAGCACTATTTTTTTTTAATGAACTCATATTATAATAATATTATTCAACGATATAGACATGGGTATCACCTACGATTTGGATTTGTTCCTGAGCTTTAAAATGAGTTTTTAGGCTTGTGTAAAAACAAACAATTAGGTTATGGTTTCGATTTCGATGAATAAATTATATTGTCCCCCCCATTCGCGTTTACCCGGTTAAGCCACTCACGTGATTCACGTCCGAATATTATAATTGTGCATGCATCATATTATGTGCATTATTATAGATAGTTTAATCTATAATTTATAAAATATGACGTATAATACACATACACACGAAACAAGCGATATCTATACTATATTTATTATTATTGTTTAAACAGTCGCCGCCGCCATCGCGTGTGTACAATAAAATCGTAGTAAGCTTACGTTTACAAACGGTGACGTCACTGTTGCTTTGGTTGTTACTATTTAGAAAATACTATAATATATTATATATACTATATACAGCGTAAACGAAGGACCACTCTATTTCATTACTATTGTGACTAGGAAATCGTGCTAAATGCAATTCAGAGTTGCGCGCGTGACAGCAGTGTGTCAGGAAATCGATAGCACGCCGCAGAATAATGTTATATCCTATTTCTATTTATTTTTGCGTTTAAACAGACCGAAATTAAAATATCCGATATAAATTGACAACAATTCAAAAATCAAAATAGAAATGTTACGGAAAACACACCGTAGAAGAATAAAATATGACCGTCCCACTAAAAGCTCTTTTAATGGATTATACCTGTAAACAATAAGTATTTAAATAATTATATGATAATGTTATTCTTAATAAGACAGTGTTGAAAAATCAATAATGAACAAAAACAATTTTGTGTCTATGTAATGACAAACAATAATATATTTTGATAAATACGAGCTTTTGATTAATATATAGATAAATACTAAATAGGTATCCAATAGTTGAATAATAATAATACTATAATAACAGTAATACACTGGTGTAGTTTGATGAAATATGATATGTATCAAAATTGAGAGATGAAACTACAAAAAGCAGAGAAGTTGTAGTTAATTCAAATTGAATAGGTACCTATCATCTACTCATCGTCCATCGACAGCGTTGGCGTAATGTGTTTAATTCAAACAAGATTTTCACTTTCAATAATGTTTTATTTTATTTTAGAGTAGTTACCTTCATCTTGAGACTGCAGTTTTTAATTATGCAATCATTTCTATGTATTTAATATTTTCTGCATGAGACGTCCTGAATTACTTAATACAATCTTAAAGTCATGGTTTTTGACAAATATTCTTATATAGTTCTTAAGCTTAATATCTCTTGCATTTAAACTGCTGTTTACATTTTGTGTACACATTAAATGGTTTGAAACGAAGCAAATTTTTATTGTTATGATGCAGTTTGCATATTGTAGCAGACAACACTACGGCAGTAGGTATTTAATTAAAACCTACTATGCATTTAAGATAAAGCTTTTGAAATAATTATAAGGATTAAAAACAATATTCAATGTTAAAAAATGCTGAAATTAAAGATTTAAAGCTATGAATATATATTGTATATAGGCATATAAGTATCAAATATATAGGATTTACGCCTTGGAGAATAAAAAATTAATTTAGATTTTCTGATAATATTCAGCAATGAATGTAGGTAAATTTATGGTCATGCATGGTACATACTATATATTATGGCCTTAATTTTCTTATTTTTTAGTAAAAATTCAATAAAAACAAAATGTACAGAATGAATATAAATTATGATTTTATTATTTATAAGCTATAAAGTTTCTCATTCATTAATATAATTTAATAATTGTTTTTCAATCTAAATAGATTAACTAAAATTAGTGAAATTGTACTGTTCTTTATTCCCATTTCGCTAATTTAAAATTAAGTCAGATTGTTTATTAAATTAATGAATGACAGTAACATCTAACAGCTGACAATAAATCATTAGTCATTACTCATTACTAATAAGTTGCAGGCTATAATAATTAATCGTATAATTCCGG